CGTTGTCCTGCTGGAAAATGTGTTGTTGATGTTGTGCAAAAAATCGAACAACGTGGGGTCTGATCACTTGGTCGATATACCGCTGTTGGAACGGAGATGTCGGATCACAGTGTCCCGGCTAATGTGCCGATTATGTGTTCCTATGGTCTGTCGAGCTCTTTCACTTGCAGTTAGGAACGAATGTTGCTGGTGTTAACGGGTAATCTGCCGATCTTGTCAAGGTGTGGTGACCCTAGGACGACCGTTCCGAGGAAGGTCATCTGTGGTCTGTGTAGCATTGTATCAATGCAGGAGACGGTAAATTGTGGTTATGTTAACGTTGAAATGACTCTCCAGCTTCCAAACGTCCGATAGTCTGGTTTCTCTGAATTTGAGTTAGGCGTGGCATTGTTGACCAAGGAGTGGTAGGTCCAAGAATCGGCAACAGTTTTATACCCACTACAGTTCGTGACAGTTCGTGCATTTTCGATTTTGCGAGAAATGGGTGCATGATACCCACATATTCATTGAAATGGTGTGTTTTGGCGATTCGTTTTTTATGTTGCGTTTTTACTTGGGGCTTCCAAAATGCAACCAAAAGTATTGATAACACCATCAGGCTTCACTACATGCTAAAACTCGTATCAATTTATGGTTCCGTGTTTGTTACCTATTTGCTTAAAACCACTTGCGTTTCTTTTGCGTGTGAGCATATATTGGATAGCGGTGTTTTTCCTGATAGTGAGAATGTCGGCATGATTATCCCATTGTATAAAAACGGGGATGTTTATGATCCAAATAATTACCGGGGTATTTTTTTTGCTAAATGTAATGGGTAAAATATTCACAACTATCCTTGAATCCAGAATAAGAATAAGAAACAGGCTCATAAAGTATTACATGAATGTCAAGCAGGTTTTAGACATGACTATTCTACAATTGATCACATATTTGTCTTACAATCTTTATGTCAAAAGTATTTGAGAAAACCAAAACACAGATTCTATGCAGCTTTCATAGATTTTTGTAAAGCATTTGACTTTGTTGACAGAAATAAGCTATTGTATGTACTTCTTAGGAAAGGTGTACGTGGGAAAATGTTTAGAATTCTAAAAGATATGTATGACAAGGTCTCAGCTTGTTTTAGAAGCGGACATTTGAAAACTGAAATATTTTCAACATCATGTGGAGTACGCCAGGGATGTATGTTGAGTCCTGTTTTATTTATATTTTTTTATAAATGAGCATGCAGATGAAACGAAGAAATGCGGATTGAGAGGTGTTTTGGTCAGAGATGGACTAAACGATATCATACTGCTATTATTTGCAAGTGAGGTAACATTGATTGATGACGCTGTAATAGGCCTACAAAGAAAACTTGATGTGTTAGAAGGTTATTGTAATAAATGGGACCAAGAAGTTAACCTCATGTATTATTGTTTTCAGAAATGGCGGATACCTAAGAAATACAGAAAAATGGACTTATGATGGCAAACATATGAAAGTAGTATCCCACTATAAATATGTAGGTATTGTCTTCACATCCAGATTAATTTGGTCAAAAGTGTGTGAAACATTAGCACTACAAGCCAGAAAGGCCTGTTTCCTATTATTACCTAATTAAAGGATTATCCAAACATTTCTCTAAAGGTAGCATCTACAATATTTGACAGTAAAATAGCTTCCATATTGTTATGTAGTTCGGAAATTTGGGGTTACACTTCTCATGCAAATATTGAAAAAAATACTTTTGACATTAAACGATATTTATGTGTTAATTAGTCGTTGTATTGGTGCAGGTTGTTGTATATGGATAGTTGTCGATATCCAAAAGCATGTCATGACATGTTGAAATCCCAGATGAAAACGGCAGCCACAACTGGGTAACGCATGTTCGTTTGCTGCTATTAGAAACCGGCTTTACGTATGTTTGGATCGCACAGGAGTGTGGCAGCATATCAAATTTTACACAATGTTTTAAGCAAAGATGTAAAGACATAGAGATTCAGAATTGGCATGCTAAAATTATTTCTTCATCATTTCTAAACCATTATTCACCAGCCAGCACGAGATCTCAGATCAGCACATAAACTCCAGTTTAGTGTCCATATGGTCTCACTCAAAGCATTTGGCAACAGAACTTTTGCTCGACCTGCATCTGTGCTCTGGAATTCCCTTCCAGTGGAAATTAGGCAATCTCCAACTCTGGACACTTTCAAGACAAAACTAAAGACTTATCTCTTTAGATGTGTCTATGACCCTGTGTGAGATGCTATGAGCGACTACGTAGACGGAAATGGCGCTGAAGAAATGGAATTTATTATTATTATTATTATTATTCTACATATAAGTCTGTACTCGAACCAGAGAAATATATTATGGAGTTATGTCCAAACAAGGATCTTATCCACATATTATTTAAATTCCGATGTTTGAGCCATAAGTTGGGTATTCAACACTTTCGTTGCAATGACAAAGTCAATACTGATTTACTTAAGTGCAAGAAATGTAATCATAATATAATTGAAGATGAATACACTTTCCTTTTAGTTTGTCCAATTTATATGGAAAACAGAAAGCTCTACATCCCAAGCTACTATTACCAATATCCATCACGAGCAAAATTTAATCAACTAGTAGCAACAAAAAATGTTAAGCTAATTATAAATATTGCTATATATTTGAAAAGAAATCTGCCTGTACAATGTATCATAAATATTGTATTGAGATAGTATAACAGTTGTCCCACTTGTCCATGTGCAAAGATTTATCTCATGTATTGTACTCTTGGCCATGCAGCCTTTGATACCGAATAAATTTCTGCTACTTCTGCTGCTTCTGCTTCTATACATTCACTACATATAAATATACTCACTACCTATATATATACTCACTACATATATATACACTTACAACATATAAATACACTCAATACCAATATAATATAAACTCACTACATATATACTGAACAACAAAAGTTCCTGTGACATTGAATAAGATTTAATGCAAAGTTATGTTTTTTACCAAATCTGAAACAATTTGGGTTTGTAACAGATAAAAGACTCCTGTAAGTGTTCGAATGGTTTAATTGGCCATACTGACTTCAGAAAATGCGTGATTTCATTAAAAAACATGAACATGCCAAAATGTCAATTTACAAATCAATAGCGTGTGTGTCCATCTCTGGTTGCGATGCGAGCAACACATCTTCGTCTCATGGAATGGACCAGACATCGCACAAAGTCCTGTGGGATATCTGTCCATATCTGTTGGAGCATGTTTCGAAGTTCCTGGAGTGTCTGTGGAACACGTGGTTGACGTCGAAGGTGCCGATCAATCTCATCCCACATGTGATTGATTGGTGAGAGATCAGGGGAGTGAGCCGGCCAGGGGATGACATTCACATTGTTTTGTTGAAGAGAATACTGAACAAGTCGAGCAATATGAGGCCGGGCGTTGTCATGTTGAAAGGTAATGCCTGGGCCATGACGACACAAAAACAGGGCCGATGATCTCGTCGCGGTAGCGCTGTCCATTGAGAATTCCCTCTACCACCATCAAACGGGTCCTCTGTCTTGCTGTAGTCCCACCCTATACCATAATGCTGCCGCCCCCGAACCGATCTTCTTCCATAGCACAATGATTGACGTAACGTTTACCTCAACGTCAGTACACTTGAATCCATCCATCGCTGTGGCCAAGGTGAAAACGAGACTCGTCAGTGAATAGAACTTGTCCCACTGCACCACTGTAGACATGCTTGATGGTGGTTTCCTGTCAAAATGGGACGTCTGGCGGGTCTTCTGGCGACAATCCCTGCACGTCTAAGGCGATGACTTACGGTTTGTGAAGATATTCATCGAAGGCCAGGGATGCTTCTTGCAGTCACTGTTCATGGCTGGAATCGATTTCATAGGTGTGTTGTGCGAATCCAGTTGTCTTGTCGATTATTGGTCACGAGTGGCCTGCCACTCCGAGGATGGTCTCTGACTGCATTTGTCTGTTGCTATAACGTTGCCATAAACACCAAATGGTGTTTCTGTGGAAGTTAAATTGTCTTGCAACATCACGTTGACTCAATCCTGCTTCAAGCATACCAATGGCTCACAGATGCTCATTTTCGGACAGGCGTGGCATTTCGTAATGTTGAATAATTGTGTAATTTTGTTTTTTTTCTGAGTGGTTCTTGTCAGCACGATGCTAAACAATGCATATGGAATCCCGTTAACGCACATGTTTTTATGCCCATTCTTGGGTAGTAAAATGCATGGGGCTTGCATAAAAGTCAACTTTTGCATGGAATGCATGTTTTTCTGTAGCAGTTGCATTTTTGTCACTTGATTCCATACATGTACTACAACATTGAAAACCAAACTTTACTTGTTTGAAAAATACACTAAAATATTTGTGTCACAGGAACTTTTGCTGTTGAGTATAAATACACTCAATACCTATATAGACATTCACTACATATAAATATACTCACTACCTATATATACACTCACTATCTATAAATATACTCACTACCTATATATACATTCACTACCTATATATACACTCACTACATATATCATATATATTTCTTGCAGGTCGGCATTAAAACTCAAACAGTAACTGAAAGTTTGAAAGCTATTCACAAAATATTAATATTTGTCAAATTATAGTCTTCGCACTTTTTTGCTCTTCCTCTTCATAATAACATGGGCATCAAATTACTGAATGATGACGGAATGTTAAGACAGGTAGGTATACAGTACTTCACATGAACCCAATGTTGACAGGCCAAACGCCTGAATTGTCAAGTCAGCAGCTTTGATGACGTCACACCTCTCGTTATAATGCGACAGATCAATATCAAATGCAGCTGTTCAAAAATAGGTGTTGTACGAAAATAGGGTACTCGACTATATATACTTTTTACCTCCATTTACACACTCACCGCTACATATACTCATTCACTCCCTATACACAATCACAACCTACACACTCTCATAACCTTGTGGTAAACAACTAAAACCTACATGAAGTCCGAGTGTAATGATGTTGCTCCTCTGCCTTGGGCCTTCAGTTTGATTACAATCATAGGAATAACACACTGATACTTGACACTCAATCTGAAAAAACAAAACAAAATCCAATGAAGAGAACTAAACAAAATGCTGTTCATTCCTGTCATGTAACTCACCCTTTTCTGACACACTATTACACAAAATATTGCTGTTGATAGCAAGACTAAAAAGTCAGCGATATCTCCAAAATATCCACGAGAGCTCTGTAAATACATTAATCTTGATTTTCTGTGAAAACAGTAATTATTTGTCCTAATCACCCTGATTAATTTGCATGGTTTCATTAGGGAAATCTCAAACCACTTTGAGCACAAACTAACCCAAGGCCTGCCAACATTCCTCAACATCACACCCACCCCTGACCTGACCACATACCACAACTTATAAACCTCTGGTGACATCACACTACAGTAACAGAAGGTTCTTTCAAATGTTGGTCAAATTCTATGACATGAATCGAACCTGCAACCTCACATATTGTGTTAAGTATTGTAACCCACTGCTGTCCCACTGAGCTACCGGGGCTGTTGATGAGAAGTTGTTCAGTTTATCATGTCCTGACTCCAGCTAGTCCATGCTTGAACATGTTTTTTGCTCCTGCTCGTTTTGAGCGAATTCCTTTTATACTGCGATACACAAATTGTTTTACTTTAAGGTATGTCATCGTTTTCTTATTTATTCTGGTATTTTTTGCATTTAGTCGGTTCATAAGTTGGATAAAACATGCCTCCTTAGGTTTGTTGAAAATGTAAAGCCTTGACCTTGGGCTATTCCCTCACTCACAGTTTTACATTTTTAACCAAACCCTTGGAGGCCTGCTTTATCCTATACATCATACCCATGTATGACCTGCCCAAATTTCTGACCATAATACCTGAACATCACACCAACCCATGACCTGCCCAAAAACATCAACCTCACACCCACCCCTGACCTGCCCACAAACATCAACCTCACACCCACCCCTGACCTGCCCAACAACATCAACCTCACACCCACCCCTGACCTGCCCACAAACATCACACTCACACCCACCCATCACCTGCCCAAATACATTCACATCAAACCCAGCTATGACCTGCCCACATACCTACATATGACCTGCCCACAAACATCAACCTCACACCCACCCATTACCTGCCCACAAACATCAACCTCACACCCACCCCTGACCTGCCCACAAACATCAACCTCACACCCACCCCTGACCTGCCCACAAACATCAACCTCACACCCACCCCTGACCTGCCCAAAAACATCACACTCACACCCACCCATCACCTGCCCAAATACATTCACATCAAACCCAGCTATGACCTGCCCACATACCTACATATGACCTGCCCACAAACATCAACCTCACACCCACCCATTACCTGCCCAGAAACATCAACCTCACACCCACCCCTGACCTGCCCAAAAACATCAACCTCACACCCACCCATGACCTGCCCAAATACATTCACATCAAACCCAGCTATGACCTGCCCACATACCTACATATGACCTGCCCACAAACATCAACCTCACACCCACCCATTACCTGCCCACAAACATCAACCTCACACCCACCCCTGACCTGCCCACAAACATCAACCTCACACCCACCCCTGACCTGCCCACAAACATCAACCTCACACCCACCCCTGACCTGCCCACAAACATCAACCTCACACCCACCCCTGACCTGCCCAAAAACATCAACCTCACACCCACCCCTGACCTGCCCAAAAACATCACACTCACACCCACCCATGACCTGCCCAAATACATTCACATCAAACCCAGCTATGACCTGCCCACATACCTACATATGACCTGCCCACAAACATCAACCTCACACCCACCCATTACCTGCCCACAAACATCAACCTCACACCCACCCCTGACCTGCCCAAAAACATCAACCTCACACCCACCCCTGACCTGCCCACAAACATCAACCTCACACCCACCCCTGACCTGCCCAAAAACATCACACTCACACCCACCCATCACCTGCCCAAATACATTCACATCAAACCCAGCTATGACCTGCCTACATACCTACATATGACCTGCGCACAAACATCAACCTCACACCCACCCCTGACCTGCCCACATACCTGAACACCATATGCCCATTCCATGTACTGTTCCTCACTGAACACTCCATAAGACACATCATCTTCTATGTTTTCAGTAGCAACAGCTGATCCATTCACGACCCACTGTACACGATACGCCGAATCACCTCTCAGAAGGCGTAGGAAGCTGCACTTGAAAATGGCAGTGTCATTCACATCAGATACACTCAGCACTGGCAATTTCTCTAGCGATAGCAGGTCTGTAATATTAACCATGAAAGAAATATGAACCATATGAAATTATCATAAAATGCAAATATGTTGTGAAATATACTTATATACTCACTGAGTATAAAAACATAAAAACATGTAGAGAAGTATGTACGTTAAGAAGAGATGTTTCCAATGTGTACCACTTAGTGACAAAACTACCAATCAGTCAAGCGTTACCACAGAATGTTTTTATTCTTATCACGATATTCACGTGATTTCCAAACTTTACAAGCTAATCCTACACAAGACAAATGGTGCATCTCGAGTCATGGATCTATGATGTCACATGTGATGGGTTCATTCGCGTCGGTTCACACAACATAAAAGTATGTTCGTATATGCATCAAACCAATCTAATATCTCTTGAATATGAGTAATTCTTTATATATTAACCAATATGTATGGTATTTGCATTTCTTTTGTCGGTGAGTATATTTCTATTTTTCATACTAAAATGTGGGCTCACCTGTGACAACATCCAAAACATCAAGCACAAATGTTGGAGCTGCATAGATTTCAAATCCACCAAAAGTGATATTTCCATAGCACCCATGACCATCTTCAAGAGGACCACCAATTTTCAGAGCACTCTTTTTCTCTCCAAGTACACTACGTCTGTAGAATGTTTTAGTTTTGTAAGACTTGCCACCAACATTAACATCAATGCCATAGGCTGCTGAAAAGCTGAACTGATATGTGTAGAACACGTTGAGTTGTGGGCGTGGCACTGAGACCACCCATTGCTTGTCTGGTGTGCTGACTGTGAAGTAAACATATCGGCGCTGGTAATACACTGCCACACCAGTGGAATCGGGTTGGTCTCCACCAGTCGTCAGGACATACATGTTCTCACAAAATGATCTGTACTGAACATCAAACTTGGTAGTGAAGCCAATGGAACATTCTCCCGGGGCAGATAACATGGAGTATTTAGTTAAGTTATAGTCAGGGAGAGAGATAGAAGCCTCATTCAACTCAACAGCCATTCCCCCACCATGTCCATCAACCAGTGACGGTGTGCCTGTCTCAGCAAAATCAACCAGTGACTCAAACTGGTACCTTGCTACCGTAACACTCTCTCCTGAAACACAAGGGAGACACATATATTTTAAAAGTTATTCTTGTTTGCATAAATTATGATTATTACTCAATGTTGAATTTTCAAGGTTTTCTTTTACTATCAGTTTAAACAATAAAGCATGTGTTACTGGTTAGTTTGGTCCAGCCTGTGCTGTTGTCAGTGGACTGGCAGTATCGGGTTGGGTCGTCACTGAACACAGCACCACACTCATGACACACTCCATCGATGTTGCATATGTCTGTCTGGAAATTGAAACACAAAAATCAAAACCAAGTGATTACAATTAAAGTCTTACATCATGCAAAAATGTTCTCTCATGTCCCAACAAGATCCATTGAATTTGCCACTGCACATAATCCATTGTGATCCATTTGATGCATTATGTTTGTTATTCACATATTTCCGACATGGCAAATACAATATAAGTTTCAAACAACGACGACATGGCACATCTATTCACAACCAGTCCCGACCTGGGAAGTAACCATTTTGCATTGGTCTAGCTTGAAAAGACAACCTGCCATGATACAATTACATAACATCACCCTTTAATTGGCTGTGAGCTTATCAGGTCTTAAATATATACAACTGGTGAATACAGAGTCAATGTTAATCACTAGCAATCTCTACACACCTGTGATGTAAAACAAGATAAATATACTCTTCATGAAAAGCATATACATGTATAATGGATTCCCATAACAACTATATTCATACTTGAAATAATGAATAAATGTCCTCATGTATTCAACTACAGACTAAATTGATTGCTGATTGGAACATTCTGTCAAATGCTATCCAACACAGGTTTCATCCACTCACCCTCGTCACACAGCTCCCTGCAGTGTAACTTTCGCAGTTGGAGTTGATCACAACATAAGTGACTGGTTCGCTGAAAAGCTTTCCGTCGTTGCTGATGGTGATATTGGCACTGGATGTTTTGTTCAGGCGACACGCTACAAGTTCATTGCTGATGTACACTGCAGGCACTGTATAAGTACCATCGCCGTCCGAAGAACAGTCCAGCTGGAAGACCATGTCACATACATGTCAATAATTTTGTTTGTTTATTTGTTGTTTAACGCAGCACACAGCAATATTCCAGCTATATGACAGCGGTCTGGAAATAATCAAGTCTGAATCAGACAATCCAGTGATTGACATCAAGAGCATTGGTCCACGCAATTGGGATACTATGACATGCATCAACAGGGTCAACGAGCCTGACCACCCAATCCCATTAGTCACCTCTTACGACAAGCATAGTCAACTTTCACGGCAAGCATGGGTTGCTGAAGACCAATTCTACCCCGGATTTTCACGGGTCAGATGTCAATGGCAACACATAGATACAATAACACCATACATTTTACTGCCGCTTTGAAGATAACTTACAGTTAGTTACAATGTACTTCTTGTCTATATGCAGAGTATATACACAGTGCAAGGAGGCCAGTTGCAGCTTCAAAATCAGGCTTTGTTTCCAACTGATGTTCCTACCTGTAATCCTTCAATGTTGCACACAAGAGTGTCTATGTCAGCAAAGTTTTCTCCAACAAGTGTGATGTAGTTGCAGTCCTCCATAATCTGTGAGTCGCAAATGTGTCCTTGTATTTCATCAACAGATGGAGGTTGTGTTCCATTGATGGAGCAGTCTTCACCAAGCCAGTTATCATAGCACTGGCACTCACCTGCATAAGTCAAATAATCACCAATCTCACTAAGGCCTGTGAAGCTCTCAATGCTACAGTCAAATCCAGTCGACAAGCACATAGTCAAAAGACACCCCCAAATGAAACTAAAAATTAACTGCTAACAAGTAGGCTTTGTGTATGATTTAAGTTACTTGTGGTATGCATTAATGCTCAGCTGACAAAATATAAAATCTTTCACAAATATAACGATTTAAAAAGGTTCCAAACATGAAACACAAACCACCTTCAATAACCTAATTCAGATAAGTTCCAAAAAAAAAAAAAAAATTTATGCTTGCTTTGATCTTAACCTTGGTATGATTGATTCTATCAGGAATAACTGTGTGAAATATTTCTTTAATTGGCCCTTGTTTAATGAAGCATTGACTGTTTGAAATCGTTCACCCTCTTAACAACACCTTATGCTAAAACAATTCAACAGGCCAAAGGTTAAGAAATGAATAGAATTTGGGAGATTTTTATTTCCTCAAGAAAGTTTCCATATCCATGTTTGACATACCTTGTGTACAGTTGCCATTGTCACTGCAGCTGTTGATACAGATGATGCTCTCCACCTCTGGGATGGGCACCAACTGGCCTCCCACCTCAACCATCAGTTCTATCCGGGTTGTGATTTCTGTCTGGCACTGAGCAATCAAGTTACTAAGGGCTGTCACTTGCCACTGTGTGTCCCCTGTGATCTGAATTGGGAGAAAAAAATAGCTTCATTATTGCCACACAACTCCAGCTATATATACTGAACAAAATAGTAAGAGATCATTAATATTTGGGGGGATAATCTATTGTAGCGAAGACTGACTTTCTTTAAATATGTATGGTATATAAAAATATTTCATGATCCCTAAATTGTTTTGTTCAGTATAGTTTAATAAACCTTTTATTTCCATGAAATGAAAACCTGGATTGGTTAACAGGCATAATGCCTATTTGACGACCTCTCCAGTACACATGTGATTTGATACAATTTTCAGAACATCATATCATAGATAATTAATGTAAATCTTGAAACTAATGCGGACATGAATTAAACGTGAAAAATGCAAGTGATCTTTCTTCGCATAAATGAAACTTCGCTTTTATGTCTCCAAAATGACTATCAACAATAAGACGGCCTCACTGCATATTTTGGATAGAGGAAATACCAACTAGAATAAGCATCGGGTTAGCTATTACTGCTGGAGTCAAGAGTTCTTCCTACTCATGTCAAACAAGGCATCATTGGCCACTCAGGTCATTTACCAATCAGTATTGCCTTTGAACATCCTTAATACCAGTCAGCAGAATAAACATATAAACTGTGTGTTGTTTTTTTACATAAACACTATTTATTGGTTTTACAGAAGTGCTTTACTCAATGCCAATAAGTAGTGCTATTTGCTGCTGGATTGGATTAAGATAAGGTTGGATTAAGGTAAGGATATGGATCATTCCACTTGGGATGGGGTTGGCGACGGGGGAATTCGCATTGATTTTGAGTCACATTTTTGGAAAGGGGTCAGCAGTGATATTAATTTGGCGACGCATTATTTTTTAAAGATTTACATTTTAAAATGTACAGTACTAGTACTACACAGCTTAACTAAGGTAGTAAAACATGAATAATACACAATGTAATCAGGTTTTTTCATAAACATGTAACATTTATAAGCTACTAAAGCAATTTGTTTGTGTAAAATAGTCATGGACAGATTCAATAATCATTAAATATAATGCATCTGGCAAATCAAAGTTACCAAACAGTATAGTCGTTATACCATATCCGTAGAAAAAACAGCTCGATCTGACATGACTGACATCTGAATGCTGCCAAAGATAATGAAGACTGTCTTCCTAGTAAAGGCCACAAGTATTCAGGTCATTATTTCCCTTATTTTTCTTGGCAATGTTTGTAAACATCCCTTCTCTCTGAATTGAACACATTTGCAATTCAATTTTGAGAAACATTTAGTGGTGAAAGCAGAAATAAATAACAATTCAGGTTGTTTTTTTTGCCTCTGTAATGAAGTGACTGGAGTTTGTCTGAGGTTGTCTGAGGTTGTCTGAGGTTGTATTGAGGAACACTGCTGCTGAGAGGTGTCTCACATTGAGGAGAATCTTACCTGAATATCCTCCATGCAAAATTCTACTGTCTGGTTGAAGTCGATGTCAATCAAGGGGATATTTTGGCAGCGGACAGCTAACTTCGAAGATAGGATGTGTGAGGAGCATATCTCAAATGCCTCAGTCTCATTTATACCATTGGCTGTTGGCCACGTAAGTTCCTACAAATACAAACATTCAGTTTTCACAAATTTACACAAATTCAAATGACAGAGACTGCATATATCATGGTGCAGATATCTCCAATCTTAATATTCACTTTATTTAAATGCAGAGGCAAATACAGCAATCAATATATCCAGTCAACACTATTCAATATGTGTGCATATTTTTTAACAAATTGCTGATACATCAACTACATTTTGTCCTCATCAACCTCTAATTCAGGAAGTCAAAATACATTTTGTCATGTGAAGCCAAGAAGCAAACATAGATGACAATATCTGTTTGTGAAAGGCAAAGAAGTCGTACCGGTTGTTCATAGTCGAGGTCAAACTCAAAAGTGATGTTGACAGCTCCCTTTTGGACACATTTGAGAGGGGTCTGCGACTGAGTGATGAAGTACTCCGTCACATCCTCACCTGGGCCACACAAACAGTGCGAGACATACCCTTGTCACAACTCAAGACCAACACAATTCAATTCAGCAATTCATTATCTCATAGAGCTATTATCTTGAATATTTGAAAAATCATATTAATAAAAGTGTAAACACATAAATGCAAACCTAAATATCACTTTCCATTCAACAAAACAGCATGAATGTTAATAACGATAGGTACATTTTTTATGGTTATAACCTATGTCATTCCATGAAACCATTCACACACATTCACCTGTCAGATGTTGAGAGTATGATCACAAGTGACTATAAGGTTCATTATTGGATGACTTTTAATTATTATATGTAAAATTTATTCATGGATGGATGGAATACATTTTGTTCACGTGAACCAAATGTTCAAACTCTGACTGTATAATTCGAGGACTTGGGGATCCTACCAGGCAACATATGCCTGAGTTTGATGAGTTACTGACCTCGACTAATCTTCCTGCTCTTCTTGCTGTGCACCCCACATGTGAACACATCTCTGCCCGCCCCACACACTGGACTCTGACCCTCCACACAGTCACAGTACACAGGCAGAGGAGCACCATCACCATCACCAGCCTCTGCACAGTAGCCATCATACAGAGAGTCCGTACTGGTGGGGAAAGCAGCAGGGTTAGTAGAAGTGAACAACTGGATGTGACAAAATAATATCAAACAAAAGTCGTCATTGTTAATAATTCAAAGAATACTAGGTACCGGTACCTCTGTAACATTTATGCGAGAAATCCTGTATTTTGGCTGTCATCAAACTATAAAATGTTCACTGTCAACTATTCCTAACCAGTTGAGATACTAATACTAACTGCACGGCGAGGAAGTCTTCACATTTTCCAACATAAGCATTCTTTATGCAGAATATTTTACTTTTGATGAAATAGAGGTTTTATTCTTTGAATTATAAGGAATGATAACTATTTTCTGATAAATCTCAAGAATACATATCCTCCATCACATCAATGCTAGAATGTCCCAAAGGAATCGATGGGTTCTGACATCTAATAATACCATAGATAGTAAACGATCTACGGAATGTAAAAAGAAAATGATCTCAAACTCCATGATTCCCATCATAATTGGGTCTTTTCCCTAACTCTAGTATTTTTGGGGTACCTAGCTGTTCCAAACAAATATTCGAGTTGTTCCGACAAATATTTGGTTGACATGATTCTGATATCACTTAAAAGTCCCATTTTCAGAATATTTCCAGGTACATATGCAAATATGTGGTAAATTTCCATAGAACAACTGTTATGTAACACTTTCTTATACCCCATTCACATGCACCTCTATGCACATTTGTGTATATGTGCTTACATGTGTAGAAATACATGCGTGAGTATACTTGTCATGTGAACGCGTTTACTCATGTGTGTATATTTACACCAGGAGCAAATCTGCATCATGTCTGGAGCAGGTGCAAATGTAAATGTAAATTGGCACTGTGTGTATATGTTGCAATGTGAATGTTTATGTCAACGTAAGAGGATCTAATTAATATCTGTTCTTTTGTCAACACCAAACAAATTGTCAACAGTTGCCAACTTTTATGCGTATATACATAGTTGAGCGGACAGTGATTTCTTTTTGTTTCAAGGAGTCAAAACTTTGTGTCAAAAATTTAATCAGACACATGTTGCTTCACGTGAACATTTTTGGTGAAGTTACTTTCTTCTCATTCAACTTTGATTGGAAAACAACCTGTTTTGTGTTGAAAGTCAAATGTGTGCCTTACACAATTAACATACTTTATTTATACACCTAAAATGCTTTTCATGTGAACGCATAGAATGGGCGGCCATTCGGTTAAAAAATACAAAGTTTAAAAATAGGACAAAAGTACACAATAAAGGTCAAATATTATGAATAAAGAACTAAATGTTACTAATAAAAGTCAAAATACAAAACAATGAGACGCAAAGTTGAAATAAAGGTCAAAAGTACACAATATTAATAGTCAAATGTTACGAAAAGACATAAGAAAAGAAAGAACAATGTGTACGAAAGAACGTCAGTGAGCACGAAAGGAAGTTGACAATAAAGAACATCAGTGAGCATGAAAGGACATTGACAATAAAGAACGCCAGATGGTGCTGCAATTTGTAAAACATTCCGAGTTTAACCGACTTGTTCCGCCGTGTATACGATAACTGAATGCATGCCGAGGTGCACAATGTATTTCGTCAATCCTCGTGCACTCACTGTCTGACGTCACACACACACACACACACACACACACACACACACACACACACACACACACACACACACACACACACACACACACACAGGACACATTGGAACCATCAGTCAACAGGTAGTGTATGGGTGCTGGAAATTCAAGAGGAGTGCCCACTATGACGTTCTCCCAGTATGTCCACCAAATGAGACGAAAGACAAAAGGTACAAGGATGTCCATTGTTGATGACCACACAGAGTTCATCGAAGCTAAGATGGGATGAAAGTGAAGTCTTCCCAGAGACATCAGTTTTCTGACTGGTGATGTCCGCCAGAGAAGAGCATGGTTGGGCTGACCTGCTACATCGGTGACCATCTGCAGCATCTCATGATAAAGATCCTCAGGTGGACAAAGCATTCCTCTGTGAAGCAGGTAGCTGTTGGATCAGGACAAATCTAGCTTTTGTCCTGACTGGCATACTTTATACAGGAAGTCAATGATATATCCATGGATATGCACTAGTTGGATAAGAGCAAAACTGATGATCGGTGCTCTAATTTGGGTGAAAAGCCAAGGTGCAATGGACAAACCAAACAAAAGTACAAGGAATCCAGTAGTCCAGAGACTGAGAATCAGACATACTTCCTGGATCCTGCATGAATTGGCACATCCAGACTGGATGTCGGGACTGAATCATCTAATCCCCAATCCTGAATAAAGTGCAAAGTTGGCTTCCAGATTCTATCTGGAACTCATCGAACAGATACCTTTTTGAGAACTTTCAGATCAAGGATTATATGCATATCAGTGGTGTTTTTCTTGGGTGCAAGAGCAAATGGAGAATAGAAGCCTTGGCTGTGGTCCATATCCTCCAGATCCTGTGATAGTGTCTGAATGGCCAAGGAGGCTGGTGCTATCTTGGGACCTTCAGCTGCTATGCGGGAGATGAGATTTGGTCTTTGATGGTAGTGGAGCTTGTATCTTTCCAAAACCATGTTTAGAATCTAGTGGTTGGACATGATGTGCTTTAAATTTTTGGCGAATGGTACCAATTGTCCCCCCACTGATATTGGGGTTAGGTTGGATTTCGGAAATGCGAGAATCAAAGTTCATAGTCGCAGCCAAGTCAATAAAGTTTGGTCTAAACTTTGGGGGTCAGTTGTGGAGATACCCTCTTACAACAGGTTTGCCCCCTTTGTGATTGAAACCGCGTCCAAGGTTGGTGGTAAATTATAAAAGGCAGTCAGAGTGTGGTACTTTCAGCGTTTCAATGGAGGCAGTGCTATACTTGGTTTCCCAATCAAATTGTTAACCTGGTTGATAATGAGTGGCCTGCAACTCAGGCATGGGAGAGTGAATTGCTTCCATATGGGGGTGGTACCCCACATACAACCACCTCATCTACAGGTGAAGTGGTGGGATACAGCCATCCAACTCTGCCATGGGAACTCGACACTGCATGAGGAAAGCATGCTCTACATCCTAGCCAAGTGGAGACTTTCATTCATAGATGCAATAGGCCAACGGTCGTCTTCCACCCAATTCAGAAGTAAAGCAGCCTTCCATGGACACATCAAGACCATCCTGGCCTTACATATATCATTGTATCCTCAGTGAGGTGGATCCAAGTTCCCTGCATCAAATCTGGCCATGACACTTGCTCCCCCTACACGGCCACGTGGTCATGGGAGCTTTCTGAGCCATTCAGATGGTGGCCATCTGCTCCTAGATTGTGTCCCGACACTTTGCCAGCATGGCCTGCATGACCTCCGTCTTTCATTATCTCCTTCTAAACTTATTTTGTTTGTTTGTTTGTTACTTAACACCGCACTCAGCCTTATTGCTGCTATATGACAGCAGTGTGTAAATAATTGAGTCTGGACCACACAGTCCAGGGATTGACATCATGAGCATCGATCTACACAATTGACGTGCACCAATAAGTCCACCAGCATGACCACCTGATCCCTTTTGTTGCTTCAGACTTATAAGCCCTTCTTTAATTTTGAATAAAAGAACCAATCTTAAATATTGAATACTAAATGTATAGCATGTGTTTTGCTTTGGTCTTACACTGCACAATAATCCTGTCATATGATGGCTGACTGTAAATAATATCAAGACTATCCAGTAATTGATATTTTGAGTGATCATGGTTATTAACTACGATCTGCGCTGCATTGTAAATCTATATGCATGTTATTATTTCTTTCCACAATACATAAAACTTAATATAATGAAAACAAGCAAAAATAATTCATGCATATTTCAAGAATTGTACTAGATGAATTTTACTACAATTGTGGAACTTTACAAGATTTAAGGGTTTAATGTTATTTACTTTACTAAATAAAATAATTGTAGAATTCAGCTATTTTGCTAAAGGATTAAGTGAACTAACCTTCTCCAGCTGAGGGCAAAACGCTTTGGTTGTCTAACATTCTCTGAGAAGATCTCTCCAGTGCTCATCTTTAGATCATTGTCCTTGTTGCCATCAAAGGTACCACACAAACCTGGGAAACATGAAACACAATGAAACTGTGCAATGCTTGTTGGTCCTCATTATTATCACTACCAATTATTGTTAATCATCAGTGTACATACAGTGCATGCTGATGATGTAACATGAAGCTCACCTTCCATGTTATTGTAGTCATCTGCAGAAGCATGCAGCCACACATTAAGAAACTCAGAAGTTTTCCTCACTCCATTCTTGATCTTCACACAGGTTCCAGTTGGAAAGCAGGCCTTCATGAAAAGAAAGAAATATGTCCATGTCAGTAGTTTTACACTTCGTATCAATGTATCCAGAGAACGAACAGGATGGAGTATATACTAGAGGACAGAAGCCTGACTTGGTCACAGACAGTCTTGTAGTACACATGGGACTTGATGTCAAAACTGAAACTGCGAACCATGTTGTCTCCCAGGCAGGTTAGTCAAATGCCTACAACTTATACATGTTTTGTAACTGTTAAGAGTTCTTTGCCTTAGGCATCCTTATATGATACTTTTTATTCCTATTGTCCAGTTCCTAAAGACCTTTCTCACCTTATAGGCACGTCCTCCCGAGTACTTGATGATCCTCATGCCTGGCGTTAGACTGCCTTGGACATAGCTGCGGACAACCATAGGAGTTTTCTTGGATCCTCTCCTTCTACATCGGTCAAACACAATCACATCATCCACAGCTCTCACAGCAACTCCACAGTTACAAGAGGCAGATAATCCCTTGCCACAGCGCTGATACATAGTGCGAACCTAAACACACAAAGACAATCAATGCTTTCATCACCAACACACATGTTACATTTTGAAAATTTCATGTTAATGCTCAGAAGCAGCTGTAGACTTGTAGCTGTGAGATATGACCATGTATATTCATAAATCTCCTCACCTCATAGTCTCTTTGCTTGTTGATGTATAGGATGAATTCTCCCTCAAAAAACACATTGAATTTCCTGGAAACACAATATGCATAAGAAAAAGAATGTAAAATCTACATGGAATATATCATATCATACAATGAGGTCTATATTTTGTATTGATAAGCTGACAATAAATTCCAAAGGTGTTTCCTGTATGATATGAGAACTAATAATTAACAAAATCAAAGGTCAAATATAAAATTTAAAACTTGTCAAATGTTACTGTAAGGAAAGTTGAGGCAAACTTAGATCTTGTTGACAGTGTTTCTGCATGAACTTTGAAATGTTGATATTTATTCTTCTTCTATGAAAGCCAGCGTGAGGCTAGACCGATTAAAAATATATGTTACACAGGTATGTCTACAAATAATATGTGAAAGAAGCCTAAGTGAAAAAAAAAGGAAATATTTAATCAAAATATACTCACTTTCCATCGATGGAGGTTATATGTGGATCATTGATGGATTTGCAAACAGCCTTTCTATCCTTGTCCTTCACTGTAAGCTGAAATAGAATTGTGTGTATGTTGAGTTTGAAACTGTAACATATCTGCCCAAACACTTGTAATTTATTATAAGAAATTTCACAGTGACTAACAATTGATCACTGTGTCCCATCCGAGCATACCTTGATTTGGTCAAGAGTGTTGTTAGTGATGCTTGTATCTCCAGTCCAAACAGTCACATGAACATTGAGCTTCCTATGCTGGTCCCCATCCCTGAATGGAGAGTCCACTTTAGCTTTGACAGTGATCATAACACCGGTCTTCCAGTTACTGTTGGTGATTCTCTTTCCACAAGGTGGACCACTTTCCTCCTGGTCGTAGCCTATGACAGCCTGCACCAAGGCTTCCTCCTGACAGCTCAACTCCTTGGCCGTTGCAATGCTAGTTGTCACAGTGATGTAGCAGTCATCCCAGGCTGACAGGTTGTGACAGAAGAAACCAGGAGGGAAGGTTGATATGACATGGAGCATCTGGGCTTCACCACCTTCTTCCACCATTATCTCAGTCTCTCGAACCTGCCATAACAATCACGGATACATTTTCACTATCATCTACATGAGGCAGTGAAGCAAACAGATAAAGAAGCTTTCAACTGATATTATAAACCTCTGATGACATCACACTACAGTAACAGAAGGTTCTTCCAAATGCTGGTGGACTTCCACGACAGGAAATATAAAAAATGCCCTGGGCATTCCGGTGGAACGTTTTATGAACTTGTCTCTTGTTGGGACATAATTGTGTTTGATGATTGGTTAAAAGCCACAATTGTTTTTAATATGTAAATTCCATGGCATGAATTGAACCTGCAACATCACATACAGTGTTAACTTTCGTAACCCACTGTTTTCCCACTGAGCTATCAGGTAAGTGGTGAGAAATTGTTCAGTGTAACATGTCATGACTCCAGCTAGTGCATGCAGCACATGGTTTTTCTCTCGCACACTTTGAGCGAATTCCTTTTATACTATGATACACTGTATTGTTTCACTTTAAAATATGTTACTGTCATCTTATTATTTTCTGATATTTCTTGCATTTAGATGGTTCATAAGATGGATCAAACAAGTCTCTGAGGTTTCGGTTGAGAATGTTAAACCTGGAGCTCAGGAAAAGCTGTCGAGCCTTTGGCCCTTGGTCTTTTCCCTCGCTCACAGTTTTACATTTTCAACCCAAACATCTGAGGCATGATTTTTCCTATACAACAAGACACCAGGAAGGAGTCTTACCTTTACTTCAGCTTTGAGAACCAAACTGTATCGAGGGGGGGACTTGGTGTCATCACAGTTGAATCTGTAGCAGCCTGACACAGCACACTGCATCTGTAATACAGAACACCTGGCTCATAGCACTCTTACATCTGGTCACCAGCTACATTCAAACATGTTCATTCATATTATTATTAATAACTTGCAAGTGATTCCATGGCATTTGATTGGCAAACCAGGCATTCATGTTTCATTACAACCAAAAACAAAATCGGTCCCAACCACCAACAAACTACTGTTTCCTGATTGGCTGATAATAGAATGGTTGGGACTTGTGGTGTATTATTGTGCTGTTGTCTACAGTTTTTTGTCAGTTAATGATTAAATAAGCAGTCTGTGAAGTAATATTGTTGACATATATATTTATTTATAAGAATTTACTAACACTTGATTTTGCTTTTAGTGATGATTTTGTATAAACATGCACACTGTGCACACCATTTTTGGCATTTATGCTTCAATTAACTAAAAAAATATTTAAGTCAATTCTTAAGTGTAGCTGTCTATTTTCTTGAACATGAATGGCTAGGTGTACTTTACTTTCCTAACAATACACATTTTATGTGATCATAATCTTCTTTGTGCTGCACAAAGCCAAAAGCCACAAGTTATTTTAAATATCTACATACACTTACAAGTCTAAAATAATGGCTGCACACGCACATATGATTGTTAACAAATACAAATCAAGAGATAACTTAGATGTCCATCTTACATATCAGTTATCAAATATGTTAATCAGAAGAACTTACTGCATCTCCAACTCTGTACTTTGACAGCTTTTCTGAATCCAAACTTGAGATGCCTTCATCAAATGGTCCAAAGTCACTGACTGTCTCATTGCCTGCCAGCCATGTAACACTGTAACGCACTCCCTCCTCCATCTCAAACTTACACACTACTTTGAAGTAGGGACTTTCAACAACAGTCTCTGTCTCCAGATGAGGCTGCTCAATAGATGGGAAATCTGCAAAATAATTCTTGTCACATAACATGTAAACATAATGTGGAAATGTGTTAGCCTCAGTCTATCTGAACACCTCTAAGTTGATCCACTAAGATTATAGCACTTATATAGCAACGTTCATGCATGTGTGTGTGTGGCTGCTTGTACTTGTCCGGATTGATGCCAATTTATAGTGCTAGCACACTGAGATACCATGCCGCAGTTTAACATGAATACCCCTCCAAAAACACAATCTATTGACTCGGAGCTGACCAGTCATTTTACTCCCTTAATGCTGCGCGCCAGGCAGGGTAACAACAAGCACAATCTTTTAACATCTTTTGGTATGAGGCTTCCAGGGAACAAACCCCGGAACTTCTGCACTCCAGGCGGACGCTCTACCACTAGACCACAGAGGAGGTGAACAACTATGTGAAGAAAGGGGCTCTCACAGTATGGGCATAATTGGGGACGCCGTCACTACACTGATTACAGTTTTACTTTTTTTGGTAGTAAAAGACAATTTGTGCTTCCTATGTCTTGTGAGTGATGGAACCTACCTTGTTTGGTTGACCAATCTGTCTGGTTGAGCGCTGGCAGACACACAAGGGAGGTGTTGGCTGGGTTTTCCATGTCTGCTGTGTAGCAGGTGTTGTCAATGAAGCATGAGTTGGGCTGCAAGGTAATACACATAATATACAATATAACTAATGGTCATAGTACCATTAACATAACTTATTCTTTATAGTTCACCTCAAGAACTCTAACATGCATTTGGTTTTCCCTTAGAAAATGTACAAAATGTGTAGTATAGATAATGGGGATTCTGGCTCACTTCCACTGGAGCTAGATTTATACCCAATACTGCTACTACAGAGGGATTTTTTTATGCAAAAATGATGATACACACAAACGATCATCATGATTCGTATTAAAAGAAACATCAATATTAATTAATAATGGATAAAATTTACTAAGGCCTACGAGGATATTGGAAAGATATAGGAGCAATACAAAAATTAGCCGCTGCTGCTAAGGTATCTAAAGATGTGGCCAAGGATTGGCTAAAGAAACAAGCGATGTGGCAAATATACTTGCCGGCACCGCGTTATATCCCAAGGAAGAAGTTTGATATTTTTACAATGAATGAAGTTCATCAGGCTGATCTCGTTTCTTCCCCATGATAAGGTTAGATGCAAAACATATAAATACGCTTTAACCGTAGTGGATGTGGCTAGTTGCTACAGGGCGGCTGAACCATTAACCTCGAAAGATTCAACAGAAGTAGCTAATGCACTGAGCCGCATATATAAACGCGGACCACTAAAATGGCCTAAGTTATTTCAAGTAGATCCTGGTCGCGAGTTTATGGGATCAGTAACTAAACTGTTAACAAAGCATGATGTCGCAATCAGGCAAGGTGAAAAAGAGGCCCACTGTAGTCAAGCTATCGTTGAAAGATTTAACCGGACATTAGCAGTGCGTTTTTTTTGGATATCAGCATGGGATTGAAATGAAATCGGAACGATTGAGATCAACTGAAAGGGTGACACGATTATCAACTGTTGTATCAGCGCTGAATAATGAAGTAACAAGATTAAATAGGAAGAAACCATCCGATGCGATTAAAATTAAATCTGTGACTTTTGAATCTTCAGCAACGAGGAGAGGCAAAGAACAAAAACTTTCGGATAGAGTCAGCGTAAGATATTTATACCAGCCCGGTGATCTCAAAGGAGACCCACGTTGTGCAACCGATCCCATTTGGTCCCTTAAGATATATACCATTGGTCGGTTGGTTATGAAAGAAGGAGAGCCTATTCTTTATTATCTTAAAGATGGAACTGGCAGGGGTTTTGTACAAGAAGAGTTGCTCATAGTTCCAGACGATACAGTATTACCACCATAACCATAAGCATAGGTAGTTACACCATCATTATCAATCTATCTCTTTGTATCTAAGAGGGATAATGATGTCTTGTTCATTCTTAATCCATATATCCTGTGATTGACACTTCTTAAAGTGTTCATCTCGTTTTTAATGTCTTACCATTGAATAATGCTTCTTTATACTGTTCGTGTTTGATATGCTTTTTTACCACATACCAAATACTTCTTAACACCCTTAGCTTTTCTTATCTCTCCATTATCGGGCTTAGGTCTTAATCCAACATACTCCGCAATAAGGGTTCCCAGTACATTCATCCTTCAACACCTTTTTATTTACTACGCTGTGCATTTGATTATATTTTGGGTAATCGCTCGTGTCATACGTATCTATTTTTTGGCCATATCTTTATACACATCCTCGGTTTGTATTTCCATCAACAAAGAATATGTATCGGTATATAACACCTCACATCTATCGCCGTATTGCTTCTTAAGTTCGTTGTAATAAAAGTCATACATTAAGTGTTTTGACAAGTCAAGAATACTCATACCAATGTACACCGGTCTGTTGAATTTTATATTACTCTTCTGCATATGTAGTGCAGCTAAGTCGTTATCAAATATCTTGCTTCTTTAAAAGCCAGACTGGCTATAAGTTTCCTGAGTCTTTCTTCCTCATAAGACCTGACCAATTTAACATCATAACGCTTCCTTAAATTCTCCATAGTTTTACCAAATACTGAGTTATTCATGAGCTCATATAGATTTTTTTAGAAATCGCTGGTAGCCATCTTTCTTAAATCTGTGTTCATACTTATATAGGGCTCCATCCAAGGGCTTGGATCAAGCTTTAGAACTCTGTGTATTTTCTTTAGTTTCATGCCTTACGATAGATATAACTGGAGATTTCTACAGTGAACTATATATTTTGTCTTATCCATCAAATTTGGTACAAGTTTTTCTACGTTAGCTAACCTAGTATTACCCATCAAGGAGTGTTGATATTCCGACATCCAATCTTTATTGACCATTAATCTTTTGGGGTCTAGCGGATAACTGTTCTGGTCTTTGTGCAAATCTTTTGGATATTCCAAGTCAACATCTGTGGGGATTTGATATCACATCGATATCATTCACATTGATATTGTGGATATCATTCACACCAACCCACTCAAAACCACCCGTGGGTAAAGGTTGACTCATAGCCCATCCGTACAAATTGTTGGCGTCTAGATATAATATGTGCGTATCGGGTTTATTCGGATCATATCCTTCCACTAATTTATTATTAGCCCTAGAATACCTTTTCGCTGTCATCGATATACCACCTCTTTTCCTTTCTCAACAAACAAGTGCATATCGTAATCAGTGAGTAGTTTTAGTTCTACACCAATCTTCTTCAACAATGCATCCCACGATAGTCCGGGACTGGAATAGTACCATGCCGGGTCCAAGCCATATTGTTTTAAAGATGTCTTTCTAAATATCTCCAATATATTGGCGAGTAACAATACATCGGTTCTTAAGTGGAGATCCTGATAATCGCCTAAGTTCTTACAACCTAATTTATGCCACACCATCAGAGCATGTTCATAATCAGCATCGGTTATTTTAGATTCTGTTAAGTTACTATAGAATGATTCAAGGGGTTGTAATTCAGTTTCTTCGAATCTAGACCAATCATCCATATATTCGTAAGGATATACACCTTTTCTCAGCAACAAATGACGAGTTATCTGATCAGTATATTGATTTGTTATTGCAAAGTCATCGGTATTGTTTGCATCAGCTAAATTGTCCAGGGAAGATAACAGACACTGTATGGTGTCTACGAAACGAAGTCCATTACTTTGCTTTGTTCTAGCTTTCCCATCCTTGTCCGTATAATGTATAGTTTTAGTCAACGAGAATGATATATATTTTTCCATATTATTAGGAATGCACGTTAAGCCGCCATCGGTCTTTGAGATAGCTTGCATAATGATATGTGAATCATATCCTCTAAGGTTGTGAAACACAACGGGGATGGGTATTGTTTGAGAATTCATTTTTAGTTTCAAGTTACACTCGTTATGTGTGGTTCCCCGATAATTACCCTTAACATGACAATGATCTCTTATGGAATCACCATTCAGGGGTTTATTTCAAACATGACAAATCGTTGACTTCTTATAGGCCCTCCAATCATCCCTTGTCATACATATGGGTTTCTTACGCAATAAATTATCCCTGATTATTCTCTCTTCCTTTGTAGGTATTCTAGGAACTTTTCCGCTGCATCGGGACCTCTGTAAATCACTGGCGGGTTTGTTTTCCCATCATACATTACAACTATATATCCAAACCCACAAGGAATATCTTCTTTAGTTTTAAATGTAAAACTACATTCAGTACTGTGTTCGGTATTATAAGTGCTTCGAAGTCAGCATAAATTACTTACGGTACTGGCATTTGATTACAATAATTTTCAAATTTAAGTATATTTTTTCCCTCTTTAGGCATATCGATCCTGATAGCAGTCTGTCCAACATCTCTGCAGTCTTCTTTATGCGCTTCTAATAGATCTTGTCTGCTGTACCAATGCAGGCATAGTTCGCAGAAATATTTCATTCCATCATGTTTTGTTTGATCACATAATAGCCTGCTTAAACTCTTTATCCCCGTATAATGATACTTCCCATCTTTTTCGATCAGAAATGAATTGATCCCGGGAATATCTTCTGGAGCGGAGCTTATCTTGTGGACAACAATTCCTTTAGGAGAATGTCCGAAAACATTTATAAATTAATTTGCTTTTCCGCCTTATCAATTTGTGAGATTGGTGTAGGTTCATCTATACCATCAAGGTTGAGTCCGTCGTTTGGGGGATAGCTCGAAGATCTATCCGGATATTTGTCTGTGGGAAACAATGCAGATCTTATCATCATTCTGAAACAGTCATCGCCTTAATTTTTTACATTAATTATGGCTTTTTTCTTTTATAATATGAGGGTAAATCTATATAAGATCCACCTTTTAAAGGCATATAACTTGCTATATCTAAATATAAACTATAAATTCTATCCACATCCCAAACCGAACCTCTATTAGTCCAGAGTTCTAAAGTTTCTTGTATCCGCTGAATTGAAGCATCTAATGATGCGCTTATCGACTCAGATTCGGTTATAAGTTCTTGGTTGCTCTGGAAATAAGGCTTGGTATATTCGGCGTCATTTTTACTTAATGACATTTTAACCGTTAGCTGGTATTTTATACTATTTAAATCATCTAACTCCTCGTCAATTTTGCTGGATACGATGGGTTTAACATCATTAACATCCATGTTGGAATTAATATCAATGACAATCTACCAACCTCTTAGATATTTACTCACGCCGGTTGTGGGTACAAATCTTAATTCAACAAAGGATTGATTTTTATCAACATCAACATCAACATTCAGTAAATCGATCAATTCAGCTTTTCTCATTCAAGAATTACCTCTCAGCCCACTTTTTTTCGCTTGAGCTTTGAGTTCTCTAACAGTCTGGTGTTTGTTGTATTCCAAACTGAGTAAATCAATCAATTCAGCTTTTCTCATTCGAGAATAACCATGTAGACCACATTGTTTTGCCAAAGCCTTCAACTCTCTGACAAAAACCATTTTGATTTAATGGTATATGCAAAATGTGTCAAATTTCTCAATGGTTATATTTTCATATACATGTATCTAAATACGTATTCTCCCCAACCTATTCCTCTCGTTGATAAAATCTCTCATCCTAGAATAAATAATCTGGTTCCTG